AGGGACAGCGTAGGCCAGCCCGCCGGGCAGCTGTGTCCGGCGGGCCTGCCCGCCCAGCGCCGTGTGCCCGCAGGGACAGCGTATAGGCCAGCGGCCAGCCCGCCGGGCAGCTGTGTCCGGCGGGCCTGCCCGCCCAGCGCCGTGTGCCCGCCGGGCAGCTGTGTCCGGCGGGCCTGCCCGCCCAGCGCCGTGTGCCTGCAGGGGCAGCGTAGGCCAGCCCGCCGGGCAGCCGTGTCGGGCGGGCCGGTCTACCCTGCGTTGAGCAGGCGCCCACCGGGGAGGTATACTGTAGGCTAGCTTCAACTATAAACTCTGTGTATATTTTCTTTAAATACTTTTGATTAAGTTCGTTTAAATGTTGCAAATTTTGCTGGATTTTATTAGCTTGAATTTCAATTGAAACATAGATTATTATTTCAATCCTTTCTTTAATTTGGGCCGGGCTGAGCAGCCTACCTCATTGCCGTTGCCTGCATCCTCGTTGTCGTTGGCGAGGTGCAGCTCCAGGCCGAGGCCGAGGCCTAGCCCGGTGCCCGTCTCGGGCTCGGCCTCCTCGTCCTCCAGACTCGAGTACGACGCCGTGGTGCCGTCCGTGTCGCCGTACTCCACCGACGAGTTGTCGTTGTGCTTGACCTGCTTGTCGTCACCATCCTCGTCCTCCTCGTCATCGTCGTCGTCCTCCTCGCTGAGGTCGCTGCTCGTGTCGTCCGAGCCGCTGAGGCTGCCGCTGCCGCCGCTGCTGCTGCTGTCGTCCTCGCTGTCCGTCCGAGCCTCGTCGATCGTGCCTGGTGGAGGAAGAGGGTGAGTGTGCACCGTTAACAACAGCAGCGAAAACAGCGAACTACGGATCCGTGGATGATCCGTGGCCGCCATCACGACGGGGCTTTGGTTGTGTCGATGTGTCCTTGTCGGTCCCTGTGGACCATCGGTAAGCCGGCACTTACTGGGCACTGGGCCACTGTGGAACCTGCTATGGGCCGGGCTGCCGGGCCGAGCGCCGAGTACCGCTCGATAACTGCTCCAAATCCGGGTCCCACGGTGCCCACGGGTATGAGGCCTCCCCTCCTAGCTGCCCCCCCCCCCTCTTTCT